AGTTTGCACACTCAAAATTGATTTTGTCCCTCGCTCAAAAATATTAGTGCCTTATTATTTAAGCATATAAATATACCAAATTATTCTCGTTATACCCGTCATAAGCACAATATGAATATAACTGTTCTTAAATTAAGAACTTGTTTTACCAGTTGGGAGCTGATTATGTATTTGTACATTGTTGTGTTAAATTAATAAATTAACTTAGATAACTTGTATTATAACAACTAAAAAAAATAATTTAATAAACATATTTATAATGTTATTTAGATAAGTACAAGTTTATCTAAGTAAATTAAACATTATACTGCCATGTTCCATATTGTTTTTTCTCTCTTTTATTTTGTTATTCACTAAAATGTACTTAACCAAAATATTATTATTTCTTATTTCCAGGACTTGCGAACTTTATAATTAGCGTTATGTTTATAACGTTATACTTGACAAAAAATTATTGAAATTTGTAAACGAAATTATAACGGAAAGCGATAATCAAAAATAATTAAATAACACAAAACGAAATAATTTAAGTTATATTATGGTTTCGTAGAAATATTTATTTTTTTCATACGGATATTAGAATTTATTAAAATATTATATTCCGTATCCTTACCATTACTGCCAGCATTAGTTATTATTAATACATTTAATAGGTATTAACACTATTCTAAATAAAGATGAAAGCAAAACTTTTGTAACGTTTTAATTATAAATAACGAGAAACGCAAAACTTGTATAAAGTTTTACTTCTGAGTAACGATAACCGCAAAACTTGGATAACGTTTTAATTGTAAATAACATAAAACTGAATTTTTTTTCTTTCTAATGAAATTCCTGCTTATTTCTTATTTTTAATTCACAATATTGTTATTGTGTTGTTAATTGTTTATTGTTACATCTCTACTTGCATATGTATAACTTACTTATTGTAATAATTATTATTGATTTTATACTGTTTACTGACCAACTTCTTTTATTTTAATCATGTCTTTAATTCTTTATCTATTGTTAAACTATATTAGTTGGAGAATAAATAAATGAATAAAATCATTTATTTTTTTAAATGTTTGACGCTGTTATTGTGTAATAACAGCGTCAAGTTGAAAAAGTATGATATTTACAACTATAAAAATATATTGTTTCACGATCTATCAAAAGCTGATGGTAAATCAAAATATTACAAATTGAATGAAAAAAAAATATATATATTTTGTAGCAGTTTGAATAATGACTGTACATGCAGGTACATATTACTATTATTACTGGATAGTGTTAACATTATTTTTTTGATGTGAGGCTTTATGTTTATTTTTTTAATCATTCATGACTTTGACACCTATTGCATGTATAACATGATGTAGCTCAAACTAATTGTTAAAATACAATATACGTTGGTGCAAATTGTATCAGCTATGCGTTATATTATTTTGTACATTGTATTAGTATTACAAGTTATATAGTGTCATTACACTATATAACTATGTTTGGTTTGTTTTATATGAAGAGTTAAATTTATAACAAACAAACAATATTCATATAGTATCATATATAATTAAAATGTTTAGCACTGTATATCTTAAATAGAATAATCGTATTCGTCGATAGCACTATTTGATTTAATTTGTTGGTTTTATATCATGAAAGTTTAGATTAGTAGATTAACACATTTTGATTCAAGTCCCATATTCAGCGAGCTCAAATATATTACATATTACAGTGAGACCTCCACTAACGGACACCTTCTAATAGCCGACACCTCGTCACCTTCAAATATAGCGGACGTTTTCTCGGGAAACAAGTACAAACCTGAACCCTCTAAGTAGCGGACACCTCCGAATAGTGGACACAATTTCAGTGATCTATAGTCGTCGTTATTCAGAGGTTACACTGTAATTTTATACGACTTAAAAACATTTCATACGTCTTATATTTCCTTTATTATTGGGCCAATTAAACTCATTTTAAATTTTAATTTGAATAGGAATATCTTTAAAATTATAATAATAAGATTATAAGATATAAAATATACCTAAGAAAAATGTATTCGGAATCATTACAATATTTAGATTCCGTACAATGTAATATTTAGTTGTTTTTTTTTACTTACAACTAATACCTACTATTTGTCTTACTTACCTGGGAATAAAAATTGTCCCCGGGGAAACAGAAAATTTGGTCCAATTTTGGGCTAATAATAAAATATTTATAAGTTATAGGACCAAATTTATTGAAGCAGTCCAAATTTTTGACGGAATCAGGTGGGGATCACCCATTCGCCACCCTAACCAGTCCACCCCTGTTACTTACGCGTATATACTATAATATACACTTACAGTATGGTTCAACTTGTAACTTTCCCGTGATTGAGGCCAGCTGAAAGTAATAGATGAAGGTCATCTCATTATTATGCACACAGTGCATTTAATTTATCTGAACCTGATAATAGCTGCAAACCCGTTTTCATGACAAAATAATATGGTGATTATACAAATGTTTAATCATTAAATATCCATACATCGTCAGCCCGATCCCACGGCTTGAAACTCGTCTGCAGCTATGCCAAACCTAGGCGATCCGAGTATACCTATAGCTCGCCATACCGAACTCACGGCCATCTGTTGCACGGCATGACGAGGCATACGTTAAGTTATTTAAATATTTATTAGATAATTAGTGATTGGTATTAGGTAATACACAATGTCACATTAGGTGCGATTTTATTTTTGTACATTATCACGAAAAGTTAGGTAATTTTATTCGCAATAAAAATCAATAACGATCAACAAGTTAGGGAGTGAATTTCCTGACATACAAGTCATATTTTAATAAAAATACAAAAAGTCAATATTATTATTAACGTTTTCGTTTTAATAGATAAGACGTACTTATGATTCAACTGTGTATAAATCTAGGGTACAAGAAGGTAAACGAAAGTAAATTGAGTTGGTGTATGTAAACCAATAATGCGGTGTAGTATTTTCATTTATTTTTATTTTATATTTCATTCTGCATCAGTATAATATACTTACCTATTCCACGATACAGTTAGGATTTATTCCCATTTGGATGATAACAATAATTTCTAGAAAAATACAGTACGACATATTTATGTGAATATTTAGTTAACATTTGTGAGCTGTAGGTTATAGAAGTGTATAGTGTATTGCTATCAGTAGGTATCTGGTATACCTATATATGGAACATTGCCTATTACATTTTTTTTTTTAATAAATAGTATTAAAATGTATAGTATGATTAGATAGAACGAAGACAATTTTAATATCATTTAAATTACAATGCAGATATCGAAACATTTGTTTTGTTCAATTTATCAAATGACGGTTGAAATGAATTGTGTTAAAATGATAAGTTCGTTTATTCAACAAAACAAAATTGCCATAAATTACGTAAACATCAAACGAAATACATATTATAAATACATTAAAAATTATTATTATAAGAAAAGCTAGACAATACAGGTAACTATTTAGGGTAAAAAAAAAAATAATAATAATAATGATAATAAATACGTAAATAAATAATAAAGAAACATTTGTATGAAAACAAGAACACAGCTATTATAATATTATGATATATATATATATATATACACATAATAATTATTATTAGAAGCACGTTCATAATGATATATTATATAACTATAATTATACTCATTGACCTTATACTTAGTATAATATCCATGCATATATAATATATTACAAATACAGAATATTAAGTATTATTATATGAATTATATAAAATTTAATTTAAGAAATACGTGTCATGCACGATGACGTCGCGTGTACAATATTTTAAAACAACTATGATACATTATGAACACACAGCGACTGCGATTTATATTCAATCGATCCAATATAACGACAATAATAATAATAATAATAATAATAATAATAATAGTTATGATGATCTACCATTGATCATTGAAGGTGGAAAAACTTCGTAAACAATGAAGTTTAAAAAAAAAAGAAACAGAAGAAACGATAAGACACTTATATATACATAATATTATATGATATAATATATAAGTATATATTAATAAATTTATATATATATATATTAGGTATATATTATATAAGTTTAGAATCATATATATATTTATAACAATGTAATGTAAAAGTGGGTACAGGTGCGAGTTATAATATAGTGTTATATGCGCGGCAATCATTATAGACATTTTTAAAAAATTTTTTTTCGTTGGGTGGACTGTGTGTTCGGGCTTACGTGAGACTTCCGGACCGGAAATCAGTGTGTTGCGTTTCCTTGTGCCTGCGGAGGTCGACTTTGCGCTGAAAAGCACGGCCGCACAAGTCGCACGCAAACGGTTTGTACCCAGTGTGCTTTCGGCTGTGCGTAATTAGATTCGACGACTGGCTGAACGCTTTGCCGCACACCTGACATTTGTGCGGTTTTTCGCCTGTGAACCGAAAAATGCGTTAGACATTTACATATTATAATAAAACGAAAAGTTCAATAACATTGTGTGTGTGTGTGTGTGTGTGTGTGTGTGTGTGTGTGTGTGTGTGTGTGTGAGTGTGTGTATGTTTAAATAACAATAATTGTCACATAATGATATGTATGATATATGATATCTAGGGAAAGGATTTCAATTTAAATAAATATTTTTATGTAATAATAGCATCGGAAAGTTTTCGATATATGTATACGTTTCATTTAATTTCAAGTAATCTGATGCTAATTTTATTTTAAATATTTTTAAATATTTTAGAATAATTAAATATTTTTAAATATTTTAGAATAATTAAATTTTTTTACAAATAAATACATAAATTATGTAATATTGTAGAATTTCCGTGTATATTTTAATTATTTTACAAATAAATATACGTATTCTGTATTATTGAAGAATTTCCATTTTTATTTTAGTATTTTGCGATACGATTAGGTCTCTGTACTGTACACTTTTGACATCAAAAAAAATATTTTTAAAAGCGCCAAGTCGTATACAAACATTTAAAGATATGTACCCGGATTTAACTCTACCTCCCGAGCCTATTATAACTCGATGGGGTACGTGGTTATCAGTTGTATTATATTATTCAAATAACTTTGAAAAGATTAGAAACGTTGTCTTAAATTTAGATCCCGAAGCTGCAATAGCAATAAAAAAAACTGTTGAGCTCATAGACAGTAAAAATTCGCAAAACAATTTAGCATTTATTTCGACTAATTTTGGATTTTTGGTTGATACTATTTCAAAATTAGAAACTTCTAAAATGCCACTAACGGAGAGCTTAGAAATAGTTGATAATGCCATAAAGCAATTAGAACGGGTTCCTGGAGAAATTGGAGTTTTGACCGATTCAAAATTAAAAAATGTATTGGAAAAAAACACAGGTTTTAATACTGTAATGTCAATTAGAGACATACTATTAAACAAAACTCCAAATAACAAATATTCAGAAATTGAATACACTCCAAAAGAAATAATGTGTATGAAATATGCACCTGTCACGTCCGTTGATGTGGAGAGGTCATTCAGCCGTTACAAAGCAATGTTAAGACCGAACCGCCGCCACTTTACATTTGAAAATTTCAAGCTATATGTTGTTCCTAACTGTTTCCCACATGAAGACTATGATGAATCAGAATAGATTTTTAATTTTTTTATATTTTTAATTAATTATTTAATAATTCTATGTTATTTTCAATTTAAATATTTAAATATTATACATTTATAAATAAATATTTATTAAGTAATAAACAAATATATATTTAAATATTTTTAATTTTATACTAAATTAAAATCCGTTCCCTAATGATATATAATATGCAGACCATCTGTTTGCATGTCCACTACTACCGATTAAGTGTATAAAGGAAGATTTTTTTGACTCACGAAATTTCAGACGAGGCAATACAAATTGAGGCTTATTGGAAAGGGAAGGGAATATGAAGACCGATACGAAACCGTGTGTTCACGGAAAACAGGGAACACTTTATCCTGTAAATATTTTTCAATTATGTTTGTGGAACATACACCCACAATGTTTGTAGACTAATGGATCATAAATTCCTATAACTTAAAAATTGTTTAAATCTTGTATTTTGAGCATGCGCAATACAACTTTATTTTTTTTTAATGGTAACCCCTGTTTTGAATATTATTTTTGGGTTGATCAAATTGAATTTAATCATTTTTTTTTTTTTTTAAATTATACCTAGCTTTAATTCCGGCAATTGTGGGTTTAGAATACAAGTTGATACATCAAAATTACTTTAAAAAAATCAATCAACCCATAAATAATACTAAATGCGCTAAATACATGATTTAAAAAACCTGTAAGATTTATGATCCATTAGACTTGTTGAATGTTCCACAAACAGAATTGAAAAATGTTTACAGGGTAATGAGTTTCCTGTTTCCGTGAACACACTGTATTATTATACTTTATTGTATTATACAATTTGTATAGTAGGTACGAATATCAAAGGTAATTTTTTTTTTTTTTATTAATGATCATATCTTACACCCGGCATTTTACAACCATGTTTTATTGTTAACGCGATGAGGAATATAATCAAAGCATTTCCCATTAAAAGTACTTGTCAAAAAAAGAAATGTCGACTTTGTAAATTTGTCATGAATTATATTGATTACATTATATTATTATGAACGCATATTAGCAGGAAGTGAATGTGTAGGTACTAAGGTACCTATATTATATTATTATAAATACGTAATAGACTTACATTTTTCAATAATAATTAATAGTACATTAACACTCAGTGGCGGTTCTAGCGTATGGGCTGCCCATACTAAAATGTCTAGTGCCCCTTATTGGGGAAGGGGGAGGAAATGAGGAATATTATCCACAGTTAAAACCTAATTATTATAAATCTACTGTTGCCCATGTATACGAAAATGTAGTCCTAGTAGTAGTCCTGTTAACACTATATCTATATCGACCTATATTTAAAATTTTAGTTTATATAGGTAATATGCATATTATAATGATAAAATATATTTTGTGAAATCGTTTAGATAGGTACTATGAGAGAAGAGAATAGTGGTTATAAATAAAATTATTAACTATACCTATAAATACATTTTCTTCTGTACTTTATGCGCACTGCACAAAATTGCACTTCTCTTTGCCAAACTTTAAAAACATTATTTGTGTTTGACATTATATATTCATACGCATTATTTTCTTAGGAAACTATTCTTTACCACAATTTCAAACTATAAAACACGACTAATATAGCCATTTAAGTGCATACAAAATTGCGATTTAGGTTTACAACGTACGTAAAATAATAGAAAACTGTGGGTGGTACTGACAATATTTTTTTAAAATTATTTAATGTATAATGTTACAACTTATAAGTATCTTTAAAATGTAAGCAAAATAGTATTATATAGGTACATATTATACGTCATATAAAGTTATATTTTTGTGTAATAATAAGTGCGCTAAAGGGCTGTAATACGATTGAGAACGTTCGACCTTTTTTAGCGTACGATTGAGATCACTCGAAATGGAACAATGAAATAACCGCTGACCCAATAATACAGTACTATTGAGAACGAAATTAAGTGCAACGTTGCCGAACTTTATTCGAGTCAAAATAAAAATGAAATAAAACATTGAATAAAATAATTAAAAATTATAAATTTTAAAAATGTCATAATTTTTAAAAAAATCTGTATTATTGGTACCTACCAATAATACAAACATTTAAAAATAATTTATATATATTAATATATATAAATTTCCCAGATGTGTTAAATATTTTATTAATCCTTCAGAAGATTTTTTTTGGCAGTAGTTAATATAAGACTGTATTGTTTTTGAAATTTTTTCTTCATCTGCTTTTGATGCCTTTTGAACAGTACCCTGTTGAATAATATTGAGTTTTAAAGACGTTTATTCCTGCCACATAGACAGTGTGTGAGCAGTGCTAAGAGTCATATATATTTATATAGGCTATAGCCATAGTAGATTTTTATATGGCAAAGTTTGGCAACGTTGCGCGGAAAAATAAAAACTGAGCGTTCTCAATCGTAATAGTCAAAAGGGTCTAAAAAAGGTATCGCCAATAATGACCGTTCTCAATCGTATTCCTGCCCGCTAAAGTACATACTAATAATAATAATAATAATATGCTGCGGCACCAAAAACGATATCAAATGCAAAAAGAACTTCAGCCCACTGAATGGATGGGTATGAGTGGGAGAGTATACTGGTTTCGTTGAGTTACTTATATATTTAAAAATTCCCATGGAAATAGAGCTTCGAACGTTTTCAGAAAGTATAAAAAGCGAGAATAAGCTATATCGTGATTATTGGTACTGACTACTGCACTAGGGTTCTTGATGAAGACCATCGGTCCTCTCATATTTATTATATTTGTCAACTATATCAGTTACCAATAGGCAATAGTGAATCACAAATGATACACTTCTCCACTTTGTAGATGACATAATGAAATTGAAATTGAATCTAAACTCCTGAATATGGTTGGTTAGGTGCGGTAAGGTCAAAATAAAATTATTTATTTTTTAATTTTCCATTTTAATATGTACCTATATATATTATTATTATTATTCAATGTTAATACGCTGCTACATATTTTTATGTCTACTTTGGCGTTACCCCAGACACTATAACAGAGTTACCTATATATAATATAATATATATAACAGTAGTATGATTTAACGATGAGAGATGCTGTGTTTAAAAATCACTCGAGGTTTTAACAACAACATAATATTTACGACGAAAACACCCATCGAATCGTTGTATAAAACCGAAAGAAATTACATTTTCGTAAATAAAAATAAGATTATTTTTTTTTTATATCTATATTATTATACCGGCTTAGGTACGTATAGGCATACAGGCGTATGTAATACGCGTGAATCATGGCGGCGGTCGTGAATAAAAACCAAATCCATAATAATATTATATGTCCACGTGATTCGCTATACAGCTGATGTATATATATAGGTACTGCCGAAGTATATACATATATATACGTGACGTTTGGAGGAAAATCATATTATATATAAAAATTTAGTAAGGATATTGCCGTGGCGTATTATTATATACTGATTGATGATTGCAGGGAAGTGCCAACGGCGTCTTATTAAATAGAACTATTCAACCCTCGAGCCGAGCTTATAACATTCCTACATCGCATTGGCATACGCACCACCGTGTATACAGACATAGGGGTATAATAAAATCAAAATTAAAACTTTTATTGCGGTGAAAAGAAATCTTCAGGGCGTTCTATAGTATAGCAGGTGATCCACATGCACCTTGTATATCAAGTGTATAGTAGCAGGTGATCCATATATAATTGGAATTTTTTCCAAAATTAAATTATAATTATTTGTGCCTTAACCATTACAATATAAATTGTCATTTTTATAAGGCGCCGAAATGATACGATAATATACCTATACGTATAAATACCGATGTTTTCATGTTTTGAAAATTAAAATTCTTCGTCAAACGCACGTAACTATTTTTAATTGATAATGAATAATGAAATAATCTTTACAAGTGATTATCAGCAATCGAAGACGCATCTCATTGAAGTTGAAACATTTTCAGTAAAAAGTTAAAATTTGTATTCAGGTCGCATTAAAAAATGCATCTCCTTACAATATTATTATTACTATAGTTGTGGCATGTGTGTTTTATATTATTAGGTTTTAATTCGAATTCACACATAGCCGCATATAGGTAGGTATAGAACTCACGGATATTACGTTTGAACGATATTTTGACAGATATTTTTTAATCAATAGGAATAAAATTAAATACGCATCTACCTAGTACAGCATGGTAGGTGAGGTAGGTACCTATGTATATATAATATAGCCACACGTATAGCCAGTGGAGTATATTGAAATATTTTTTTTTGGGGTGGGCTATATAGTAGATATAGAAACTTACAAGTGATCTATTACTTATAGGCTAATATATTATATACTATTCACACTGTCTTTCTGTAAATATATTCGAATTTGTTATTTTCAACAGGCTATGAAATATTATAACTCATAACAGTATCTAATAAAATATATTATTGTTGTTCTGTTTGAAAAGACTGTACTTACGGGGGGGGGGGGGGGGGCTGCAGCCCACTATATGCCCACCCCTATATAATACGCCAATGCGTATGGCATCTCATCTATATACATTTTAGCATATAAATAAGCGAATATGGACCGAGGGATGCGGTGACGACACGAGCGGGGTCCTGCAGAGGTATTCGACGGCCCGGGGATTTTCGCGTTCGCCGCACATAATATATAATATTATATATTATGTATATACATATCTGGCGGCGGCGGTGGCGGCGGCGGCGGCGTGATTGAACGGTATATAGCAGCCCCTAATGAAGTTCTCCGCCGAAACCGTTACCATGGTTACGATTACAGACGCCTTGCTGCCGCAGCATCCCGCCATCTGCACCGCCGCCGCCGCCGCCGCCGCCAGCACCACCACAACACGGCGCCCGCTCTTCGTTCTTTTCGCGACGCACGCCGAAACACAAACGGCTCGAGCACACACACGCGCGCACATTACACGCGGTTTACATGTCGACGAGGTTGTGTGCGCGCGCCCGAGCGCGA